CAAAAAGAGCAAATGAACCGATGAGGTTCACTTTGCTAGCCTACAGCTGAAGACAACACCTGCGTAAGATAATAGAAAACAACCTGATTTCCCAGTGGGGTTCAGGCACAGAGTGTTGAGAAGGCCGGGATCATTAAAGTGCCACAAGGGCCTATACAGAGCAGACACATTGTGTGCAGAGTAATGCTTACAGCAGCAGTCAAAGTCTTTGCTGACCATGCCAATGTGTCCTCCTTTTCATATGCAACAGAAAAACTCATTAACTCCCAAACATTGTCACACTGCCACTCACTCATACACGCATCACAAAGTTTCCTTAATCCAAAGCTGGCAAGCCTGCATGTAATTTCATCTTTCCGCAGCAGTGCCAAGAAATGCCCAGGAAAGCTGCGTTTCACATATGCTCATTTTTCCCACCCCTGTTGCCTGGAAAGAAGATCAATAGATGATTGAAGAAGGTTGCAAACTCTAAGATTTGACCTAAATACTAGGAAATCCTGATCTTTGCCAATCAAACCTGAAAGCTGATGGAGTCTGTAAGATTAGGGAGCTCTTTGAGCAATTGATCCTTTCCTGGACTTTATTCATGAAACAATTAAGCAACCCATACGCTTAATTCCAACACATATCTGACCACGCTGACCAACGACTTGTGAGTCACGGACTCTTAATTCTCCAAGCAATCTGCATCGTTGAACGTGACAGACTTTTCATTTGGTTGATAGTATGCTGACCACTGCTCAGGCGATTTGAAGGTCAAGGCCCAGAGGGATTAGCGGACGTTAAACGGGTAGATGGGTGGACAGCTGAAGCAACTCGGAGAGGGGGTGGACCAGTGGATCTCTGAAGTGAATGGATCGCGCGGACTTGCTGTCTGATCATGTGTCCGTTTAATTCAGCAGAATAACACACTGCCACTTCAGAGTATCAACTCCAATAAAGAGTTGGTTTCTGCCCAGCATCTGCGCTATGCTGAGGGAAATCTGGACTGCGGTCAATGTAGAGAGCAAACTCTATCATCATGCCTTGGCACTGGTCAAAAGTCACACATGCCCTTCAAAAGGAAATCTTATTTGGTGATGATACAGCTTTTTCTCTCTTTTACTAATAAAAAGCTGTTTTCATAATATACTGAAAGGGAAAAGCAAATATAGCCCAGCACTGTTTTTTTTCAAGCCATGGGAAGATTCCCTCTGAGAGCTTGTGTATGTGTGTGTGTGTGTGTGTGTGTGTGTGTGTGTTACATGTGTCCATGGGCGTGAGAGAAAGATGTAGCTTTCAACACTTCATACTCCATTCATTAGAGAAAAAGTTAGCATGTTTACGTGAGCATGCAGACAATATATGCACACTTGCAGCATGTGGCTGCAAAACCGGGTCAGTTGTGATCTGAGAACACGTCTGTTTCAAACACCCCCGACCCAGGGACTTAAGAGAGCCCTCATTCTGGAGAAGACAGGAGCCATATGTCCATTGTAATCTACTGAAGGTGGGGAATATAGAGCAAGTTCAGGAGGTCTGGAAACAGTAGAAACAATAGACAATGCAACAGTAGAAACATTGATTTATTGCAAAAATATCTATGAACAAGTGTTCTAATATCAACTAACTCACTCTAATTGGTGATCAAATGTAGCAAACGTTGCTACTGATATAAGATCCTGTTGCAAATCCAGTGATTACATTATAGTTTGGAATGAATTGTTCTTAATATTCATCGTGTGACTTGATAAATCATAAATGATCACTGTAGTGTAAGCATGCAAGTTAGGCTTCGTAAAAAAAAAAAAAAAAAAACAGAACGGAAGAAAAAAAAGAAAAGAAAGAAAGACAAATACACCATAAATATAATAACAGATTCTGTTTCTGTATGCTCACGTTTTCTCTCTTTAACACTCTGAGCCCAACTCAGAGTGACCTTTCACCTCATCACATTCTCAACCAATCAGAGGCCCTGATCCTCAGATCCAGAATTAGCACTGCTATCACTGGCATGGAGAATGTTAACCATGTAGACAAGTCATGGAGGAAAGCAGCAGTGAGCACACAGCCCAAGTACAGAAAGTAAGAAAGAGTGGGATAGTTTTAACTGCGTTTTCACTCCCATTATGAGGCTTAACTCCACCACTTGAACTGAAAAAATGGAATAAACCATGCTGAGAGAGCTCTGCTACTCTGGAGAGAACTGATACTGAATGTTTTATTATATGTCGTGAATAGACAACTATCTGTTCAGTGGGGCTGCTCCCTAATAGCAAACATTAGCCAATGAGAAGAGTCTTAAACTGGGATTATACTCCCTTGCGGATGCACACACGGACACAGAGTTGTTCTATCTAATCACGTTCCATACATATGCATCAGGATGTCTGTATTCCATGCTTGTGCTCCATGAGTCAAATCAAAAATTCTCATTTTATTTTCCCAGCCAAGGCACTGTGGGTGCTCTTAGTGCATAAAGGCAGAGCAGAGTTGTCCACTGTGTCACTACAAATTGGAGAAAATGAACACTTCCTCTCAAAGCCTCACACACACGCACCCTCTAATGGGGAAAATTATGTCATTCTGACTCTAGAGGACCCTTGTATACTGGTAGATATGGAAACTACAACACTAATCTGCCATGTACTTAGCTCACAAATCTCAACCAGCGCCACCGTGGGTTTGATTCCAACCCATGGCATGGATTTGCTGCATGCCACTCCCCTCTCTCTACTCCCTCACCCTTCCAATCTGTCTTCAGTAGTCCTTCATAAAGGCAGAAAAAGCTCAAAAAGAGAAAAAAAAACAAAACAATCTTACTCAATCAAGTTTTCATTGGGCAGCTGGTGAAAAGGGGGAAAAAAATGAAACTATATAGGAAGACATGAACGGACATTGTTTACACTGGGGGTCTATGCGGTTGTTGCATACTTTTGTAGGCTCTTTTGTACACCATGACCGATAGGCTCACAGAGGATGACAGACTCAGAAAATATTGTTTGAGGCCATTACACCACTGCTGTCTTTTTTTCACGGGGCACCAGAGTGGAACAGTGTCAGCAGGAAGGCAACATTTAGGTGGGGACCTATAATTTCTGTGATAACTAAAAGAGGATGATCTGATCGCTGGCTGTGCTTCAGCGACCCAAAACTAGGCTAATGGTGGAGCCACCAGTGTTCTATGTCGCTCGTTAACTTTATAACCCGTAAATGTATTTCCAGCCAAGCCGTCTCATTGGAACTGTAGTTAGGGATGCTCAAGCCTGGCACAAACTCCACAAAATGTTGCCTATCATTCGTTGACTTTAAACTTACCTCATCATTTGAAACTTGTAAGTAGCTTAGCATTAGCCACAGACACTGAATGTTCAGACATTCTCTGTGCTAATTTTCATGCCACATTCCACTACTATTACTCAGCCCTGGAGCTCAAATCTATTTCTTATGTCCCCCCCAAAACAATCTGTATTTAAATGATTAAATTAATAACATAAATGTGCAATGATTTGTCAGCTCATGGCTTTAACACATAACTGCGAGCTGGCTGAGAAGCTCTTTGGTGGGTCGGCAGCCTGAGTTCATTTATTCTGTCGGACTAGAGAGACAACTACAGGATTCTGCAGAGACTTGCATTATGGCTTGTTTGTACTCTTGATGGTCCAAGGCTAGCAAATGTTTTTGAGAGCAATTAAAAAGCAATTGGTTAGCCCGGTTTAATTTGCAGGAATTGCAGCAAGCTCCTGTAACATACTTTGCCACCACAGAGGAAATAAAATCATCACGAGTCAAACGAGTTAATAGCTTCTTCTGTCATTACTGCAGAAATTAACTGGTGAGAAATCCAATCAAGCAATCAGTCTAATTGCAGCTGTCACCGTTGAAAAACACAGTCTAGAAAATTCTGTGAGAGAATATGAGTCAGTTAGCTCAGTCAGCTAGCTACAGGAAAAGTCATCTGCCGACATACGTCCGCCCGGGGAAAAATGTTGGTAAGTATCCAAAAGCTGTTACACTGTCTGAGGATGAAAACCTTATTAAGTGATCCTCAGGAGGGCATCAATCAATCGCTCTGACACGTCAATTGGGAAGAAAACATTTATTAACCAACTTTCATTGCAATCCAACTAATCTTTTCTAAGATATTTCATAGACGGTAGACTGACACTGTCATCTCTAGAACGTCATAGGATGTGAACAGTAGGGCGCTGGGAGCTTGTGTTCTGCTAAGTTAAAATTAAAAATTCATATTTTGAATATAGCAATGGGACACATGTTTATCTCCAAGATGCTCTCGGCTGGGGAGATCATGGTTTCAATGATGTACTCGGTCGATATGAACGGTTTTATTTCTTTTGTATTCTCATCGTAAAACAATATAGATGTTTATCTGACTTGATCTTCCAACAGAGATTAAAAAAACACCATGATGAAGAAGATTTCTTGGCTCTGTTTGTGAAACCATCCTGCCCTTTGACTCAATCTCATATAATTCCACCCTTACCCTTGTGAATTCCCCGTTGTTTCTCCCTCTCTTATCAGGACACTTTTTTGATGATGTGTAATTTACCGCCCACTAACACTTGGTGATTGTCACTCTTCCCTCCCTCTATCTGTTCCTCCTTCCTCCTCCTCACCATCACAAACCAGGAGGAGTTGAGGCCATCACACAGTGAAGACTACAGCAGAAGGTAGAAGTGCAACTGTGATCACGCTTACACACCAGAATCCCTCGACAGCCACTTTGTCTCTTTCAACATGTAAAAGCTCCCAACACACATTTAGCGCAATTATTAACGTGATGAAAGTCCTAGATTAAATTTAGACAAATTTCACACACCAATCAAATCTGCTCCTGAGTGGGAGGTCTCAGGTCTGAAAGGCACCACTTGTAAATCCCAGGACAGCTGTTTGAACGTGTGCTACAGGGTGTTCACGGGCTTCCCGATGGGTTTGACTGTGAGCGTTCCAGGGAGAAAAGTGTGTCGAATGCATACATAAACATGTCAGACTGTACTCACCGATGCAGGCGTGCACACGGACGGTCAGCTGGGTCCGTAAAATAACACTATGCTTCTTCCCTCTGGACCTAAGAGAGGCGGGGGGGGAGACAGAATTACTATTGGTTCAAACATATTTTTAGGAAAGTATACTGTCTGATGAGGGCTGCAGGATGGCGCAGTTGGTAGCACTGTTGCCTCGCAGCAAGAAGGTTGCCGGTTCACGTCCCGGTGGGGGCACCGGAATCTTTCTGCGTGGAGTTTGCATGTTCTCCCCGTGCAGCGTGGGTTCTCTCCGGGTTCTCCAGCTTCCTCCCACAGTCCAACAACATGTTGAGGTTAATTGGTGATTCTAAATTGTCCATAGGTGTGAATGTGAGTGTGCTTGGTTGTCTGTCTCTAAGTGTAGCCCTGTGATAGACTGGTGACCTGTCCAGGGTGTCCCCCGCCTTCACCCTAAGTTGGCTGGGATAGACTCCAGCCCCCTGCGACCCTAGTGAGGATTAAGCGGTGTATAGATAATGGATGGATGGAAGATTTTCACTTAGCCAAAGCTAATTAACATTTACTTGTAACGAGAAAAAAGAGATTTGAAGACAGACTTTGAAGCGAGAGCAACACATGATAGGGAGGATGCAGACAAACAGAGGCCTGCATTAAAAGTTGTACCCCCATCCTGATACGCATCTGAGCCTTGAGGACAGACGGCAGAACTGCAGCAGACACAACACACATTTACACAAACACACACCTCCGCATGCCATCATGCCGATGAGCACATTCATGCACACCAGCGGGAAAACACTGCGTACACATAAACATTAAGGTATGATGGTGTTTTGAGCGCAAACTCTCTCTCTCTCCTATCCGGAGTTCCTATCCTCCAATCTGGAACACATCAGCGGTTTAAATCACTAACATCGTGATACCATCCAAACCGAGCGGGGAAAGCACGGCTCTGACAGCCCCTACATATGTTATGGATAACATGTGCTAAAGAAAACACACACCCAAACAAGAGAGCAGCTGGCATCGTATCCTGTTGTTACGCCGTGTTATCGGCTTTGCTGGGAAATAGAGCAAAATGTTAACACAATCTGTTGAGATGCTGACAGAACAAATTCAATTTTTCTTACTTGTCCGATAACCTATTGTGTCAGAACGTGTTTTGTTAGAGAACTGGGGAATAAAATTTAGTCCCCACCAACCATATCTGTGGAGACCTAAAGGTGTGCTCAGGTCGTACCGGTGAATAACTGAAATGACGGATCATTATATTTCTGACTTCTATCTACTATATTATGAATGTTTCAAAGGTTAAAAGGGTTCACGAGGAGACTTATGTGCATCACAGTCTACGGCCTTTTTCTTCCCACTTTCTTTTCACTTTCTTTCTTTGGAAGCTGAGCTATCCTTGTCACCAGAGGACTTTGTTTACTGTCAACTGTGGTGAGCAGTGTCTTGCCACAGCTGGAATCACAACACATTCTTGATGTGTGGGAACATAAATTCTGTGAGAAAATCCATTTATACTAATGTGCTCTTTATTTTCAGTAAAAGAAAATTTAAAAAAAAAAAAAAAAAAAAAGGTTTTCAGATTCTGTTTTTCATCAAAAACTAGAAAAAATATACCTTAAAAAAAACATGCATGCTATAAAAACACAGTCTATTTTTACATTTGACCAGCATATACAATGGTTGTGAGAAAGATAGATAGATAGATAGATAGATAGATAGATAGATAGATA